TGCAAGCATTACACTTATATAGTAACTGGTATCAAATTGTTCCATGTACATGTAGATGGAGGTTTGTACAGTAATATGTCAATTGAATAAAAACATAGAATCTGATATGAATATGATATGATATGATATGAAAATGCAAACTACTTGTGTAAACACCAGCTTGTGACCAAGGATTGATGAATTCCAAAGCTGTACTCACTCACTCACTCACTCACTCACTCACTCACTCACTCACTCACTCACTCACTACCGCTCACTTGCTCACTTACTCACTCGCTCACTCACTCACACACACACTCACACACTCACTCACTCACTCACTCACTCACTCACTCACTCACTCACTCACTCACTCACTCAGCTCCACATGCCCCTCCAGGGGGCATAGTGCTGTACAAGGGCTACAAGTCTGTGGCTGAGGAGTTTGTCACAGCCATGATGTGATTCATTTGTATGTTGGCATTTTTTATGACAAATTCACTAGCAGCTGTGCAACCATCAGGTACATTATACTGCTGATACAAAATCTAAGGGAGCTGTTGAATAATTTTGTCACCCGTTACTTACACCTGGCAAATTTGTAATGTCTGTAGCTGCCATCCATGATGGCATACATGTATGCTACAGTTTTTATTGTACTGACTACCATGCCATATTTTTTAAATTTTCAGAGCTATATTTACATTGTAGTAAGGCCACCTGTCCAGATGTGTGAAAACATGAGTGAAGCATGAGCCAGAATTTTAAGTTTAAGTCGGACTCCCTTTTTAGCTTATGGAATTCATCACCAAAAGTAGTGATGAACTCTTATAGCAGTGAAGTTCATCAATCCACAGTTCTGGACATACCTGCTCATTTTGCAAATGAGTATGGTTTTAGCAAATCAAAATATTTATGTCTTTCTCAGAATGGTTGACTTCAAAATGTCATCATTAGAAAAAAATACAATTCCTGCTCAAATATAAGGGGCATAAGATGCCTTGGTTAAATTCTCATGAAGGTTATCTATCAAGTTTTTTACCTCCATGAACCTGTATTGTTTTTGGTGTGTCTGTCTGTGTGTCTGTTTGTCTGTCTGTGTGTGTGTTTCTGCACGTTTGTAGTCAGCATAAGTTTAGAATGCCTTTATGGATTATGATGATATTTGGTATGTTGGTAAGTCTTAGGAAGACAAATCAAAGGTCAAGGTCAAATATGGGCCTCCTGGTGGATGACCTTCGTACTGCAGCAGAACTTCCGGTTTTTGTATCTTTTGTCCTGAACAAGCTATGGTCTTGACTTTTGGTGACAGATAGCTTTTCCTGTCAGGAATAAGTGGTGTAAGTTTGGTTCCCCTAGCAGCTTGTTCTGGAACTGCAGGAGACTTTCTGGCAAAATCTTTAAAAGCCAATAAGTCCAGATAGGAACAACGTATTTTCATAATTTTTCGTATGTACGTAACTTGGAGAGAGATGTAAAGAATGAAATGCAAATTATGCAAATGAAGACTTAATTTCCATAATTAAGGAGGAAATTGTATAATTACAATTTTATTTAATACAATGTAGTGCTTTTATACATGTAATCTATTTAATCTATCTAATCAATAGCAGGTGGAACATCAAAAGATACCAATTATGCAAATGATAACCTAATTTGCATAATTAATGTGAAAATTCTGTGATTACTTATTGGTAAATGATGGGAATTTTATACCTTGTGACATGTGTAAGTTACTTAAAGGTTAACATCACTACAAATGTATGAAGACATGTTGAAATGAAGTGGAGGAGAGAAATTTGTTTTCTGTTGTGTCAGTCTTAGGATACTCAGCGGAATGAAGAAAGTTGACTTGTATGGAAGCAATTTGGTATTGCTTGGCAACAATTACTAATGTCACATTGGGTCACACCTGGATTTTTTAACTAGTCCAACAGACCTTTCTTAATTTGGTCAAAAAGAATCAACAGCATCTTTATCTTAATCATCTTATAGGTGCACTTAGCCCCAGAAGCAAGACTTACATGTGTTGTAATAATATTGTAATTTTCCTGAAGACCACAAGATGTGACCGTGTGTTTTATAGATGACAAGTGTCTAAGACAAAGTCTAAGACTTGTACAGCGGGCAGACAACACTCAGCAGCCATTTTGGGTCACAAAGACAGACACTCAGCTATGAGCAATTGGAAGGGGATTATGTTAGTCTTGTTATGAACACAAACATGGATGGATTGTTCATCTTTATTAAGACAAATTCATGGGTACAGAAGACAGGAAGCGCCAGAAAGCAACATAGTTTTACAATTTACAGTTATATGTACAATGCCTTGTTGAACTGAGCTTCATCACAAGCTGCAGTCTATATATTTTAAGATTTTTACGACCTTAATAATTAAATACTTCCACGCAGAGAAGTCTACACTGAAATTTGAGAGGTAGAACTAGCAACAGGTCCAGACCAGAGTGCTTACAGTAGAAAGCAAGAATAGATCGTCACAAAGTGTATGATGTCACAGAAATGTGGTATACCTTACATTTGTATGTACAGAGGAAGCCAGAACCTGAATTTTTGTCATTAAGAAGTAAGTCACTATTGTCCTTAATGTACATATAACAAGCATATTAATATCATGTTAATTAAAACAAAAAGAACATATTCAATTTACAGTATAAAAACTGAGACATGGTATATGTACAATGTACATGTATCTACACAACTTCTTAACCCTTGTCCTGCTGGCAATTTTTACACAATATTTTCAAATAATTTTATGTCTTAATCAGGTTACAGACCCTTGACTTTTTTTGCCCTGCAGTGGCGTAGTTACTTTCGCATTCGTTGCGTTTCGCTGCGGTGTGATGCGTTGCACGAGAAACACCCCCAAATCGCACATATACAGGGCACTATATAGATGGTACTGTATGTACAACCCATATATATATGGGCCCCGCAGGACAAGGGTTAAGATGGCCCTACTAATTAACAAAAAGGTTTTAAAACTCTAGTTAGTAATCAAAGCTTCAAGGCTTTACAATGTACCATCCTCATCATAGTTAACAAGGTGCCTTGTCACTGAATGGTCTGATAATGGTCAGAGATTGGTCAGAAACAAGACAGATTTCTTCAGAGTAAGCCCTGACTGGTCATCGTCAGAGTGAATGAGATAGGGTCAGGTTGTAATACTATGTTTTTTGCGGTGCCTGCTTGTGTTGCGACATTGCCCTGAAATACCGGCAGTAGCAGCAGCAATCGGACCTGGTAGTCATGTTCCAGTTAATGTACAAGCAAACTGCAGCTGCTTTGATTTTTTTACTCCGTGAAGGAGGTCAGGACCTCCGGACAGAGTGTTGTGATCGGCTGATTTTTCATGTTCGCAGTCAAAACACTGGGTTCTCTTTGTGTAATCGGCATGCAATTTTATACGCCGTCTGTGGGCATGCCCGTGTTGATGCACGAATGTGTATTTTTGCCGTTGCTGCTTTCACGGTCAATGTAATATTGCAGATGCACCCCTACATTTACGAGGCGAATTGGAATGGTCCAGAAAAACGCGTTGTTTGGAATAGCAGTGGGGGGGGTGGAACTTCATGCAGATACGGGGTGGTTTTGATAAGTGGTTCCAGATGTTTTTGCCCA